TTCCATCTTTAAGTACAGTATTGGTCTTCCTCTTTCTATCTTCCTCCTCCCTCTCTTTGCTCTCCCACACTCTCCCACTATCTCTCTGCTCTGCTTCTGCTTTTTTTCATGGCTAGGTCCAGTCTGCTGCCTATGTTTAGTATACTCCTTCATTTTTCTCTTGGCTCTTCTAGATGGCTCTGATGTTGTTTTTCCATATCTACAATAATTCTCTTCCCCTTAACTATAAAATGGAGCAGTCATATCATCAAGTCATACAGTTAAAAGTAATGGTGTTTCAATGGCACAATCAGTTAGGATTAATGTTAATATAGTAGAGAGTCAATAAAGCAGAATATAAAGAGCACTTTATGGTGATAACACCATCTATGTCACAGCTCTATCTATGTCAATGGCAGCTACTCACTGTCAGTTTTTAGGATATCCTGTTGTAGAACTGCAAATGACCAATGAAGGCCTTTAGTCACTGTCTCAAACGTGCAGTTACCTTGGATTCTAGAAACAACAGAATGACTGAACAACTTTATGATGACTTTATGGGACTAAAGCCATCCAACCAATCTTGAGCTTCAGAAGACAGAGCACTTGATTATCTATGACTGTGAGGCTGCACCTGGACTAAAATCTGTTGCTGCTTTCATAAAGCAGCGGGGACATTTCCTGAGGCAGCTTTCAGAAGCAGACTGAAGATAAAGATCAACCGGATGCACCTATTTCAGAACTAATAAATTATATAGATCTTGTATCTTCTGTCCCAGCTCCTTCCATTTAAACAGGGCTCTTATCAGTGCCCTAAAAAAGGGTTTGGGGTCACTGAGCCTGTTTTCTGTTCCTCTAGCCAGTGTGTCTATATTGATTAAATCATTTCTGTTTCCTCCATGACTGCTTCCATATTAGTTCACTTATTATGACTCCTAAACATGAGCTGTTTGTCCTAACACTCCAATAACATGGGTCCACCTCATCTATCAATGTGAGCTGGGACACAAAAGTCATAGTGTGTTCGCAAGCACATGCCTGTATGTATGTGTGTAAGTGTGTGTGTGTGTGTGTGTCTGTGTGTGTGTGTGTGTGTGTGTGTGTGCTGATTCAGAGTGGGACATCTAGCCCCAGTTTCCTTTAAGCATGCTAGTATATGCCTGGATGAGGGACAATTGCAGAAAACTGTCTGTAATGGTTTCTCTAATGGAATCCATGGTGAATAGAATAAAATAAGAGAGAAAAAAGTATGTGAGGAATTTAAAGGATATTATAATAAACAGACTATAGACAATGTGCTTTTACACACACACATACACACATATTCACATACATGTACACATTCACATTATAGGACATATATACATATCCATACAGGTGGTCCTTGAACTTGAAATCCTATTGCCTCTCTCTGCTTCCTGTACTGGGATTACAGGTGCTCAGCAAGGTATTGCTTTGGAGCATATATTGTTGGCTTAAATAGTTTTAACAAGTGTGTGTTTGTGTGTTTGTGTGTTTGTGTGTGTGTGTGCATGACAGAAAGAGACAGAAACAGAGACAGAGAGATAGTGATAGAAATTGTTTTAGAAAGACAGAGAATATCATCATAAAGAAAATCAGTTTTTAAGATAATGAGTAAAATTTTTTCTTATTTCCTAATGTGTCTTCAATGGCTATTTTTTCAGGGTTGATATACCCAGTCATATGGTATGTAGTCCTAGTTTTAGTTTTTAAAATATGCTTCTGAAGTTATTTCCATAATAACTTCCATCTGTAGTGGATGGAGGTTCTTCATTCTTCATAAGTTACCAACATTTTTTGCAAGATTCTTTTTCTGTATTAATTAATTTTATGTGTACATGAAGTTTCCTAGGAGTACATATTTGCAAGACATTTGTGCTTGTGAAAATGGAGATAAAAGAGAACTAGAACTGTAGTAACAAGATGTTATGAACTGCCTCATAAGTTCTTATAACTAAACCTGTGTCTTCTGCATGAACAGTGTCTGAAAACACCCCTAATTCTCTAACAGTGTGCCCAAGTTGGAAACAGCAATAACTCAGTCCCTGGTCCTAACATCTTTCTGTCTTAGTCACTATTTATACACTGAGGATACCCAGGACAGAGGTAACTTATAGCAAAAACAAACATTAAATTGGGAACTTGCTGATAGACTCAGATGGTTAATCAATCATCATCAGGCTGAGAAGCATGGTAGCAGGCAAGCTGGTACAGTGCTGGAGAAGTAGCTGAGAGGTCACTCTGATCTACAAGTAGCAGACAGGAAGAGAGAGAGAGAGAGACTGGACCTAGCATGGGTTTTTGAAATCTCAAAGCTCTTTTTTTTCTTTTTTTTTTTTAATTGGATATTTTATTTACATTTCATATGTTATCCCCTTACCCCATCCCCCACCCACCCGGGAACCCCTCCATCCCCTTACCCCTCCTCCTTCTTCTCCGTGGATGTAACCCCCTCCTACCCTCCCCACTCCCACTTCCCCACCCTCAAAATTCCCACCCCCTGGGGCGTCCAGCCTTCATGAGGTCAAGGATCTCATCTTCCACCTGTGCCCGGCAGGGCCCTCCACTCTTACATATTCAGCTGAAGCCCTGGATCCCTCCATAAGTGCTCCCAGGCTGGTGGTTAGGACCCTGGGAGCTGTGGTTGGTTGGTATTGTTGCTCTCCTCATGGTGCCACAAACCCTTTCAGCTCCTTCAGTCCTCACTCTAACTCCGCCATTGAGAACCCCATGATCAGTTCAATGGCTAGTTGTCAGCATCTGCCTCTGAATATGTCAGACTCTTGAAGGCCTCTGTGATACCTCTCTTATAACAAGGCTATACTTACTTTAACATGCTTCATCTTCTAATCCTTTCTTAAGATCTCCGCTGATTGGAGACCAAGAAACATATGTGAATATGGGGACCATTCTCATTCAGACCACTACCTATGAAAACATGCCCCAACAGAAGCTCATTCTGTCATAAAGAGAAATGAAAATAAGGTTACATGTAAAGTCAAAGCATTAATGAATCTGGGGAACCATTGCAAGTAAGGAATCAGAGAAATGTGACAGATAGAGAAGAGATGAATGTATTAAAACGTACTTTGTTTGAAAACAGTATAATGCTATCTTATGCATTATACATATATAATGCCGTCTAATACATTGTTAATTCAAAAAAAATGGCAGAGGCAGGAGAGTCAAATAATAATATGTGTTAGAAAGATGTCTGAGTGAGGATGTACAATGATACATTGGCATTGGAAACAGATCTAAGAGGTCCTCAGAGTCTTAAACATTGAGTTGCCATGGAGATCAAACGTCCCAGTTCACATCTGTATTTAAGAGTACTGAAATATAAATTCCTAACAGTACTTCCTTGTACTATCAATGTTCTTTATTTTGAATGAATAATTTGTCAATCATTGTTTTGAATGAAGCAGTCTGCAGACTTAACACATAGAAATATCTGTGAACTCATCTTCCTTTTAGATTCAGTCCCTTTAGGGAAAGTGTCCTAATAAATGAAAATGGGATGTACTGTCCACTTACAACTGCTTAGCGTGAAGTATCTTAGAAAAAGAAAGGCGAAACTTTTATATAACCTTAATTCCATAAGGCTCTCTCTGCGCTTCATACTCTACTATGACCATTCTTCCCTAAGACTTGGTGATAATTTGAGAGCTTCAGCCTATTACATGGTTATGAAATATTGCTGAAGTTGTGTTCTCACCATCATGTGTTTATGGCTTAGCATATTTTAGTAGGTGTTACAATAACAAACCATTATGCTTTCAATTTTTCAGAATATGTAAGGATGAACACTTTCTAAGACTGGGATAACAAAAATAAACAGTAGTTTTTTCTTTACAAATGTTTAAATTGTTTCCAGGTTAAAACTGAAGAATAGAGCCACTGAGAAAGCTCATAAAATTTGACCTCTGAACATATATAACTTGACTATAACCACAATCCTTAGGTAGGTAAAGCAGGATGACCAAAAACTTGAGGCAAGCCTGGGATTCAAGGTGGCACCCCATCTCAAACCAACAGGAAGGAGTTGCTCAGACAAACTCTGACCAAAAGTAACTGAAGCCAAGAGGCTGTAGACAAATGGATCTGATGCTTGCTCTCCTGTCACTAACTGGATATATTCAAATCTTGGTCTCCACTTGTATTATTTTTATGACATTTCTTTCAGCTGTATGCCTATTATACCCTAAGGTTTGGGTGTTAGAACAAAGTGAAAAACTATACCTGGCCTGCCTGACAAGGAATGAAGATACTCTAAAAAGACTTCAAAGGACAAAGTAGCATGACCAGGTGGAGAAAAGTCCACTGCATTGAAGAAACACTCCAGTCCAGAGGATTTCATGCTGTGTTCTGGTTTCTGTGACACTAGCATGCATATGGTACAAAGACTGGTAAAATACAAAGTAAATCACAATATTTTATTTTAAAAAATTAATGAAGTTTAATTAAGAAGCAAAGTTTTTTTTTCTAAAAAAGAAAAGAGGTATTCTCTTTGGGGGCATGCAAATAGAATGTACCTTGTCCCTGGATGGAGGACACAGCATCCTGATCTAATTTGTCTCAGTGGAGGTTTCTGTCTTTTACAAGGAGAAGTCTTCCAATGGAGCGAGCTATATCACAGCAGTTAGAAACATCTCTTTGGGAAGTTAGCACAAGGATTCTTTACATGTGTTTGGCCTAATGTAGACCCGACAGGACATCTGGAGCAAACACCTTTATACCTGAATCCCTCAAAGTGACAGAGCCTTGCAATCAGCTACAGCCACCATTCTCCCTTCATTCCCTGTCATACAGAGATACAAGTATCCTACCAGTTTTGCTTTCTTTCAGAACCTAGGTGTTCCCCATCCCCCATCTAACTCTTTCCTGTATAGCTGGATGATGTCAGGACTGTTCTCTCCACCTCTGGCCTGGGGCACTAAGCATGATATCCTTGCTCTGCAGTGAATAAAGGCACTGTCTGAACAGGAAAGACGGCTAAGCTGTACTCCGGAGACATCAAGCCTTGAACACAGCAATGGGAGGCCATAAAGTTGGGAGGTAAGAGCACCCTATTCAACCCAGAGCTCTGGGACTCCTGAAGACGATCCTTAGAAAGTCTAGTCTGAGTACAGGAGATGGAACCCCAGGGCTTGAGTTGGGAAAGGACAGTGGGGAGGTCGTCTCTGGTGGACATTTAGGGTGGTGACTTCTCTAGAACCCTCAGTTGCCCACATGAAACTTAAGGCTGGGTCCTAGAACTATATTGGCTCATCTCTATCAGGTATACATGCTGCAGAATCTCACTGGTCTTTTCTACTGTCCTTGTCCTGCTTTCTCTTAAGTCCTATCACCTAGTCCATTTGACTATATCCAATAATTTCTCCTCAATAATTTCTAAAATAATGTCTCTTACTTCTGTGCCCTTTAAAGATCAGCCTGCTCTAGGCCTACTCTTCATTCCCATTTAAAAAAAAATAAGTCACACAGCATGAACTGTATCCCCCATCCCTATCTTTATCTTAAACACGCTTCTCAGTGATTAGCCTTGGAGTACATGTCTAGTCCCTTGCCTTCGAAGAGCTCCTAGTTATGTGGACAAACAATCATCATGAGAAAGGATTACCCTTGGGGGTGGCGAGCAGACCTGGAGTGGGGCACCTTTGTTAGGGGAGGACAGCAGAGTCCCTGAGGTTGTCCTGTTCCAATGAATATGAGAAGGGTGAGGAGTTTGAATTCAGTGACAGGGATGTGGTAGGGGACCTTCTATGTGGAATAAACAACGCTTTAAATGACTCAGAAGCATCTATAAAGTGATATGAGGATGGGCAGGAATGTGGACCGGGGGCAAGCTGAGTCAGTTGAGAGGATCAACAAGAGGGTAAGTCATTGAAATAAAGCAGCTCCACCTTTCCTCCAGATCCCTGGAAGACTTAAGGATAGGATCCAGTGCATCTAAGTAACCTTTCAGGATGCTGTGCCCCTCTGTGTAAGAAACAGGAAGAAATGTGGGCTGTAGTATTTTGAGGCTCCCTAGGCTATGTGATCTGCATTTTTACCACAGTAGAAACCATTCTGGAACACACTTCCAGGGTTCAGAGGTCATATGACAGTGAGAGCACAGCCATGGGATGAACACTGACTCAGAACTGGATCACAGTGTCTGGGGAAGTCACAGTCTGGGCCACATTTTCAATTCATTTAGAAGATGAAGCATACTCAAGAGAAAAGCGGCCTGGGTGCCTGCAGCTGGACCTGGGTGCAAGGTCCTCTGAGCACCACTGCAGGGGAATGCTCCCTACTGCACAGCAGAGTAGATAGTAGCCAGTTTTTGAGTTTCATTCACTATCTCAGTGTCTTTCCTGTAGATCTAAAAATGGGTAGGGTACTGTCTAATGCCTCATGGATAACACAAGAAAACTCTTCACAGGCAGAGTCCAGAATGGAGAGTTGCTGAACCCAGGCTAGAGGACTTAGAGCTCGTGGTGGCTCTTGTCTGTATTGTTTTGTCTTCCCTTTCTCCTTTTCTTTATTCTCATCTCTACCTTCTTGAGAAGAGAGGAGCTGGTGTATATAGAAGGGGACTGAACCCACACTTCTCTCAGCTGTGTTGTGTTATGAATTCCTGATGATCTTTTCTTCCAACTATGCAAGACAATATCTGTCTAGATACTACTTTGATCTGATATCAAGACCAGATGTTTCTAATAATCTTAAACTTGGAAGTACCTTGATTCAATGTGAATTTTTAAAATTCAATTTATAGTGCTTATAAACTTTGAAATGACAACCAGAAATAGAATCCCTTATTTCTCTGTTTCAGAACAATGATCATTCAGTGCTGTGTTGAGTGTTTTTTTTTTCTCCTTTGCCTCCAGATCACCCTTCTTGAATACTGTTTGTGAAGCAAATGGTATCTTTGCCATCCATCTTTTAAAGATGTTATGTAATAACAGTCCTTCAAAAAATATATGTTATTCTCCCATCAACATCTCCTCTGCTCTAGCTATGATCCTCTTGGGAGTGAAAGGAAACACCAAAGTCCAGATATCTGAGGTAAGTTGCCTGTCAACTCCCCCAACCCCTGACACACACATCTATTTCACATGCATAAGAGCTGCTAAGAAAGAATGTTAAGAATATATACACTGCTTCATGGAGCAGGGGCTAAGGAGAAAGGAAGATGGTCTCCTCCAATAACTTCTGTAAGGTAATGAGTTTTTCTGAGTAATAAAATGGAGGAAACTCTTAAAAGTTCATCCAGACTTCTCTTAGAAAATGGCGCAAAAATAATTTCATACTTGTTCTGTTGGCACAGGACTTTAATTCCAGATTTTAAAGATACTGGATTAAGAGGATCCCTAGATAAAGGGTAGCCTGAGGGAATTAATTTCAAATGAAATGTTGTTTTGCCATTATTGTTTTGTTTTTGTTTTGTTTTGTTTTAATCTTTTCATGGAGGTACAGAACTCTTGTCCACCTTAGGTCCTAGGGTCAGTTGTGAGGACCACACTGTGAAAAAGGCTGAAATTATTATAACATGGGTTGTTGATATCTTTTATGTTTTCTGAGCAACAGACTTATAAGTATTCATTGGCAAGGAAGGTCAATTCCTATTTTTAATTGTTTCAATACCAAGCTGCTTGGATAAGAGCCTCATGTACATTGTGTCTAAGCCATCTCTTCAGCTTGTTAACTCCATTTGCAACCAAATTGAGTCATCATTGATCTCATGTTTCATTCTTTCCCTTCACAGGCAATTGGTTTAATCACAGAGATAGATATTCATCAGTGCTTCCTGTGGATCCTCAATACCCTGAACAAGCCAACCAGAAAGTACATCTTCAGAATGGCCAATAGGCTCTTTGCAGAGAACACTTGTGAATTCCTCCCAGTAAGTACTATCAGTATAATGATAACAATTGTATTCAAATACCTGTTGGATAGATCACAGGAGAAGGACCCTAGAGAATTTGAGAAAACTAAGGACCACATTCTAGCCAATATGAAGTTTCATGTCTATAATACCTACACTCAGAAAGGATCAGGAGGGTCACAATTTCAAGGCCATCCTGTGCTACAAAGTGAGACACAGCTACCCAACATTCCTCAGAAGTTATTCCCACTTTCAAAAGCAAAGAACATAAAGACTTTTTTGTTTAAGTAGTATCTATATTCGTTTTAGTTTTGATTTTTTAATGCCGTATTAATCAGAAGGTTGGAAAGCTTGCAGACATTTTATTTTGCAGTGTTATCTCACTTAACATTTTTTTCTATAAAGACCTTTAAGGAGTCCTGTCTTCAGTTCTATCACATGGAGATGGAGCAGCTCTCCTTCACCAAGGCTCCAGAGGAGTCCAGGAAAAACATAAACACATGGGTCTGCAAAAAGACTAAAGGTCTGAAATTCAAGTTGATTCAAACCCTGAATTTTGTCTTCTCTATACACTCCTTTCTCCTTTCCTCCAATTTCTCTTAATTTCCGTTCCCCCACCACAGACTGATCTCACTGTTATTTCAGAGTCAAGGTGACTCATCCTAGCTATGCCCCACGGTATAATTTAGATCTCAGTGAATTCATGGAGGTTCTACTTAGACACTTAGGTTTTAAACACAGAGTTGTTTCTGTATTTCTTTAGGACAGGGGAGGAGCTGATGCAAATGTGATGAGAAGTCATGGGCCTGATTTACAGTCTAACAGTTTACATTAGAAGATATGGCTGATCTCCAGGGTTCACAGGCCATGTGCCTCTGTCATCTCTGAGAAGTAGATTTGTGGGTAGCCCTTCCCACTAATCTTGCCTAGAGGCTTCTTTTTCCTACAGTCTCTGTTTTCTCGGGTCTCACCACATTTACCTATGAAAAGGAGTCTTGTTTTTGCTTCCATATAGTCTACTTTAGTTCCCTTACTTACGTGAAACTGGACTTGATTTCCATTGAACACAATTTATCAGGGCCTCCCTTACATTGGCCTAAGAGAGCATCCAATTTGAGGTTGAAAAAGTCTTGGTCTTTGAGAGCAGTGAGAGCATTGTCTGCTATCTGAAACATTTCAATCTCTCTGTATCACTAGGTACATTCATATTTTTGCTAACAGGGAGTAAAGAATGAGATTATTTTCTTAAAGACTCAGCAATTATTTGATCCCAGAGCAAATCAAGATGAGTTCCTACATGAGCTACCACAGGAAGCAACCATGGTTCCCTCCCAATTGCTTCCCATATTTTGTGCTTACTTTGTTCTCCATCCTTGAGTGTCTTTTTCTACTTTCCAAAACCTGCTTTCCTTGAGGTACTTGCAAGTCTTTGAACATCCTCACCTTGTTGATGTTTCTCCAGTGTTCATGACTGTGAGTCAAACAAAAGGGAATGTTTTGTTTAGATTTATTTTAATATGTTTATACACATTCAGCAAATTTGAAAATGTTATGCTTGGATCTGTCCAGATGTCATATTACTTTATATCTTACACATATAGAAAGTGATTCTGAATGAAATCTCTGCTTTATCAAAAGGAAAAATTCCAGAGTTGTTGTCAGGTGCCTCAGTTGATTCAGACACCAGGCTTGTTCTTGTCAACGCCTTATATTTCAAAGGAAGGTGGCATCACAAGTTTGAAATAAAGTCCACCAAGGAAATGCCCTTTAAAATAAACAAGGTAAGCAACAGTATCCAGAAGTGCCAGTGTTACAAGGAAATTGCATGAAAAGCTTTAATTATGAATTTGAAGGTCATGGCTCACTGGTAGACATGGCATATTCTTTATGTGATGCTAGGATTGCCTTTCAGCCTGGGAAGAAAGAAATCAGGAAATACCAGAACACCATTTGATACTTATGTTTCTGACTGAAAGGTTAAACTCCGTAGGAAAATGATAGGAATGAGGAATATTTGCTGCCTATGTTATTTTGTATTCTATTGGTGGCTCATGCTACTTTTGATCATTTTTCCTAACACTATTGTTTCTGCCTTACTCTAAAACTTAAAGTTCAAGAATTCCAAAACATAGTTGTTAATGTAGTATAACATATATATGATTTATGGTGCAATGTAGAAAGTAATATACAAACACTTATTTAACAGAATAATTTTTATTAAGCATTTTAAATTATTAGTCAATTTATTATTATTAAGCAATAGTCATAGCTTTCTAATATTGAAAATGAATAAGTAAATCTCAGTCTTAATTGGAGTATAATTTGAATTAGAGTAGATATTAGATTAGTTGTCCAATCTCTACAAAAACATAATTTAATGATGTTTGCAAACTTATGAATATTAATCTCCCCATTCTATTATATTAGCAGTATTTCAAGGCTTATAAAGGAACAATTTCACTAATGTGGGAATTTAACATTTACCATGGATGGTCTGTAGCGAATTTCAATGTTTAATGTACCTGTGTAATTAAAATCTTCCCATGTGTTTCACTTCTGTACTTGAAATGTTATCATTGGACTATCAGAACTGAAACATTTAATGAATTGTAAGAAAGTACATGAGGTTCTGTTGAGACTGCCCATAACATGTAGTAGATTGACAAGCATCTCTTCCTTTGTGACTGATTTCATCACAGATAAGCAGATCTGTCCAGATAGTCCTCATTTTGTAGTAATTTAACTTGTGATTTTCCTTCTCTTTGATGGGCTGTTAGTATGTTGCTCTGCCCTGAACCTACGAGTGTCTGTGATCTTGAGCTTTCTTCTTTGTGATGGGCTCAGTGGTTGGGAATCATCTTGAACCTTTGAGCAGGTGTTCCCTGAGTTGAGGCTGTTTTCTGAGAGGATTATCTGTCCGTAGTCCTGATCACAGCTCTATGAAAATATTCCAATCTCCTTTATGATTTTTTCTGTTACGTATAATTGATTTTGCTATTTCCGTAGATATTATGGTTGACCATATTAAATGGCAAAAATCCTACATCTGGTGTGTTGGTCATATTTCCATTAGTGTAAAAAAACTATCTGATATAAGCAACTTAAAAGATGAAATGTTTATTTTGGCTCATAGTTCCAGAAATTTCAGTCTCTGTAGGTGGCCCAAACATTCAAGATTTTGGTGGTGTTTTACAGCATGGTGGAATCATATAGTGAAGGCTTGTTCATCTCACAGAAAACATGAAGTGGTGCCAATATCCCCTTCAGGGGCACCCCTTCCTCAACAATTATCTTTTTATAGTAGTCCCAACTTCCCAAAGATTTGACTTGCTCTCAATACTGCCAACATGTGGATAAATGACTATGAACTTAGCTTTTATGGAATTAGGACCTAAATATCAATATTTGAATGTCACATTTCTTTTGCTGGATCAGACACCTTATTTTTGTACTGAATTCCTGTTCTGGTTCTTTATTTGTCAACCTGACACAAACTACAACCATTTGAGAAGAAGGATTCTACATAGAGAAATTACCTCAATAAGACATACCAAGAGGCAAATCTGTTGGGCCTCTTCTTGATTAATGATTGGTGAGGTCTAAGGCAATTGTGATTGATACAAACCCTGCAGGTGGTCATGAGCTGCGTAAGAAAGAAGGCCAAGAGAGACATGGGGGACGTGCCAATAAGTAACATTTCTCAATGTCTTCTGCCTAAGCTCCTGCTCTGACTTTCCCCAGTGATGGAATGTGACAGGATAATTGTGAGATGAAATAAACAACCCTTTCCTCCCAAAGTTGCTTTTGGTCATGGTGTTTTAGGAACCATAACATAGACAGGTCCATATCTCCTTAAAGTCAGTTGTATAATGAAAAGAGGAAGATGCTGACAAACATTCTCTACGTATTCATTGCAATGAAAATATTGCTTTCATTGTGAGTGCTTAAAACATTCCCAGAATTAATGACAGTTGGTTTGGAAATCTTGAACTCTCTCAATGATATTTTTTATGTTCTGGATTTTTCTCTTCAGGATGAGAAAAGGCCAGTGAAGATGATGTGCCAGGAAGACATGTTTAAGCTCGCCTATGTGAATGAGATGCAGGTGCAAGTGTTGGTGCTGCCCTATAAGGGCAAGGAACTGAACTTGGTGGTCCTTCTCCCAGATGATGGTGTGGAACTCAGCAAGGTGAGGCAGGACAAGCTGAACTATTCACAGTTCTAAATGTCTAAAAGAACAATCCTGTAGCCCTGGTGTCTTTTCTCATTAGGACAGAATACAATGTTTCACCTTTCTTACTGTCATTTTTGGGGGGTGGCACTCCCAAACTCAGCTTCAAGTTGCTGAGTGTCACTGGAATCAAAGCTGTGTCTAAGGGTGTCAGTATATGCTGTGTGACCAGGGCACATAATATAACATCATCACAAGAATGGGAGATGGATGCATGATACGATAAACTGAGGCTAATTAATGCAACAAACATTACAGTGCTTGGTCAATAGTCCTCCTCCATAAATATAACACATATGATGGTAAGTATTTTATTTAATATCTGAGAACACAAAATAGAAAATATTGAATGTTTACCCAACTAATCTGAAGAGGGGGCATGGAGGTGGGGAGGAGAGAGTCAGTCAGGAAATCTTAGCAATCTTGTCCTTCCTTGTAGCAGGATTCCCCACAGTATGTGAGCCATGCTCTGAATGGCGGGCAGTAGAGTGTTCATGACCTAAGTGGTCTTTGTAAGCAGAAAATCTCCACAGCTCTCAGCATCCAGCTCCCAACTGTGGTGTCGCTTCTCTGGGATATTATTACTTTTTCATCACTAACAAAAGATTTCATATGAATAACGTAGGAGGAATAATGATGTATATTGGCTCACAGATTCAAATGGTTAATTTCAAGTCACCTGACCCCATCATTGATTATCACAGTGGCAAATACATGTGGCAGAGAATAGACATTTTATTCAACAAGAAACAAGGAAATAAGAAGGAACAAAGGACCAAGGATTAGCTTGCAGGGTACATCTCTAGTATACTTCCCTCATTCAGCTAAACCCATATCATACCTAAAATTTTAGCTGCCTTCCAAGTAAGGATTCAGAATGAGAGACCTTTAGTTTAATTTCATAGTCAATCCAAAATAGCTCACAAAACACTGAGAAAGCAGCCCTGGTTAGACCTCCCTTCTGGTGTGGCATACACCAAGTCATTTCTATCTCAATTTTTAATTGTTATTTTAGCAGCAATTATTTAACATTTTTGAAACTAAATATAGTTCAAGAAAATGAAAACAAACAGAACCTAAACCATAATCACCCGGACATGGACATCTTTGAAATAAAAGGTGTCTCCGAAGTGATTTAGGAGAAGACAGCCAGGTCTCCCTACCCTGGGATTTTTTGCCTCCATGCCCATCAGGGAAGCCACATGCAAGCTAGCAGGACAATAGGACCCTCACATTGCCTGGTCATGTGAATAGACAGTGCCCTATATATGATGACTGAGAATACTGTGATCAGGGATTTCCTGTGTGGCTCTGTCTAAGACGACAATTGTGAATCTGAAATTTTCTAATTTTGTTTTGAAAGGTGGAAAACAATCTCACTTTTGAGAAGTTAGCAGCTTGGACCAAACCAGACTATTTGAAGACCACTAAAGTTTTGGTTTTCCTTCCAAAATTTAAACTAGAGGAGGATTATGACATGGAGTCAATTCTTCCGAACTTGGGAGTGGTGAATGTCTTCCAAGAGGGCAAGGCTGATTTATCAGAAATGTCTCCAGAGAGAGGCCTGTGTGTGTCCAAGTTCATTCAAAAGACTGTTGTGGAAGTTAATGAAGAAGGCACAGAAGCTACAGCAGCCTCAGCAGATGATACTGTATGTTCAGCTGAAACTCATCAGTCCCAAACTTTCTGTGCTGACCACCCTTTCCTTTTCTTTATCAGGCACAACAAAACCAATACTATCCTGTTTTGTGGCAGGTTTTCATCTCCATAAACACACATTTACTATGTTGAGGAGAGTACCTTCCTCCGCATCTTAGCACTCCTATAGCTCTGAGAGGATGGGCAAGTAGGAGGAAAACATGTTCCACAATAAGAGCGTTTTCTTCTTTCCAGCCTAATCTATTGACATCCATCTTCTGCTGTCCCTACCCTGACATTCATCTGTGCCCTTTGCCAAGTCAGAGTTACTTTTTTTCCTGTTGTGTTTAGAAGTCAAAGATATCCCACAAGGTAGCCTACAAGGTTCTCTAAGGCAACCTTGAATAAATGTACCACTCATTGCATAGATAAACCACGCCAACTATAGACACTGCTTTCCTGGCATATCAACTCTTGCCATGACTTGCCTTACCTTGATTACATCCTACAAATGCTTCTGTGGACAATGATTGCTAACTTTAGTTTTCTTGGTACCTGGTCCTTAAGGTATATTTTAAATTTATTTTCTTTGCTGTTCCCTACTTATCAGGTATGTGGCCAACACTGTGTCAGACTTGCAAACAGGTACAGACAGTGTGAGCTTCTAACAGCTGATATTTACTCTCTGCTTTCAACTTATCCAGTTGTCATGACAACTAGTTGGGACTACTATATGCTCTCTTGGCACAAGTCATGGTTTTGTAGAGTATTGGGTTTCTACACCATGCAATGTAATTGTAAAATTGTATAAAGTTTTAAATTCCACTTCAAATATATCTTGTTTTCTCACCAAACGTGTGTACTTTCACCTTTAATTGAACCACATAGAGTGGTTGCTTTATCTTTTAGCCTTCTGCATTTTAGATTCTCCTACAACTAAACCATATGTTTGTCAATGGCCATGGTTATATCTAACTATAGATTATGGCTCAAACTATGCCACTTAAAGGGGGCATGAGTGATGTTAATGTGTTAGAGTGTCATCATTGTCTGAATACATGGCTAAGAAGTTTAGAGAGCTTGCTGCTCTTCCAGAGGTCCTAGGTAAACTGTTCACCACCAACATGGCTGATTGCCACCTCCTATAACTCCATTTTCAGCGATGTTGATGTCCTTTTTAAGCTTCACTGGATTCTGTATGTACACAGGTCATGTATCCTCACGCAGAATCACACATACAAATAATTTTAAAAGAAAAAATATTTTGAATGAAGAATGCCATGTTCTATTAGTGGCTAGATAGCAACTATTCGTTTGCCTTTTTCCTTTTCCTCCTGCTTTATTTATTTAATTGTTTAATTATTAATCATTCCATTTGATTACATATCAAATGGTAAGTCCCTTCCCGGTTACCCCTCCACAATCCCCTTATCCTTTCTGTGCTCTTCCCAGTATCATTTGCCTGTATGGGGGTGCTCCTCTACTCACCCACCCACTCCCAACCAGCAATCCCCTATGCTGAGGCATCAAAACTCCATGGGAACAAGGGCCTCCCCTCCATCCTCTGCTACGTATGTATCTGGTACTGTGATCCATGTACACTCCTTGGCTCATAGTCTAGACCCTGGGAGCACTGGATGGCCAACATTGTTCTTTCTATAAGACTGAAATTCCCCTCTGCTCCTCCAGTCCTTCCACCAGATATCTTACCAGGTTTGCAAGCTCAGTCTGATGGTTGTATCTCTTTAATCTTCTTTTGTTGTCTATTTGCTCTGTGTAGTAATTAGAGTTCTATATTCAATAGATAGGGAGACAGTAGGTAGTCAAGGCCTTGCCCCTGATTTTAAAGAGATTACGCTGTGTTTCCATTGTGTTGGATGTTTGCTACTGTTTTGCTGTATATCGCTTTTATTATGTTATGTATGGACCTTGAATTCCTGTTCTCTCCAATATTTTTAAAATGAAGATGTGTTGTTTTTTCTCAAATGTTTTTTCAGCATCTAATGAGATGATCATGTGAGGTTTTTTTTTTGAGTGTTTTTATATTGTGGATTACATTGATGGATTTTCTTATATTGAATCATACCTGCATTCCTAGGATGAAGTTTATGTGACTTTGGCAAATGAACATTTTGATGTGTTTTTTGAGTCGGTTTGTAAGAATTTTATTAAGTATTTTTGAATCAATGTTCTAAAGAGAAATTGGTCTGAAGCTTCTTTTCTTTGTTGGTTCTTTGTGTTGTTTAGGTATTAGGATAACTGTGGCTTTATAGAATGAATTGAGCAGTGTTCCTTCTGTTTCTATTTTGTGGAATACTTTGAGAGGTATTGGAATTGGCTCTTCTTTGAAGGTCTGATATAATTCTGCACTAAAACCATCTGTCCCTGGGCTTTTGTTTGTTGGGAGACATCTACTGACTGCTACTAATTTCATAGGGGTTGTGAGACTATTTAGATAGTTTATCTGATTCTGATTTAACTTTGGTATCTGGTATCTGTCTAGAAAACCATCTATTTTTCTTCTAAAGTTTGTAGTTTTTTGAGCATAGGCTTTTGTAATAGAATCTGATGATTTTTAAAATTTCCCCAGTTTCTGTTTTTATGTCTTCCTTTTCATTCCTAATTTTGTTAATATGGAAACTGTCTTTGTGCCCTCTAGTTAGTTTGCCTAAAGGTTTATCTATCTTGTTGATTTTCTCAATGAACCATCTCTTAGTTTTCTTGATTCTTTGTATAGTATCTCTTTGTTTTCGCTTGGTTGATTTCAGACCTGAGTTGATTGTTTCTTGTCCTCTACTCCTCTGAGATGTGTATGATTTTTTTTTTGTTCTAGAGCTTTCAGATGTACTTTTAAGCTGCTACTGTATGATCTCTCCAATTTCTATATGGAGGCACTTAAGGCTATGAGGTTTTTTTCTTAGTATTGCTTTCATTGTGTCCCAGAAGCTTGGATATATTGTGCCTTCATTTTCATTAAATTCTAGAAAGTATTTGGTTTTTTTCTTTATATCTTTCATGACCAAGTTTCCATTGAATAGATAGATGTTAAGCTTCCATGTGTATGAGAGCTTTCTGTTGTTTTTGTTTATTGAATACCAGCCTTAGTCCATGGTGATCTGATACAATACTTGGGTTTAATTCAATGTTCTATTATCTGTTGAGGTTTTTTTGTGTCCAATTATATGATTGATTTTTGGGAAGGTACCATGAAATGCTGAGAAAAAGCTATATTCTTTTGTTTTACTATGAATCTACCTTAGATATCTGTTAAATTTGTTAATTTCACTGTGTCTCGGTTTAGTTTCTGTTTTCATGATCTGCAGATTTGTGAAAGTGGGGTTTTGAGGTCTCTTATTACTATTGTGTGAGGTTCAATGTGTGCTTTGAGCATCAGTAAAGTTTTTTTTTTTGTTGTTATATAACAAGGACATATGCTCAACTATGTTCATAGCAGCCTTATTTATAATAGCCAGGAGCTGGAAAGAACCCAGATGTCCTTCAACTGAGGAATGGATTCAAAAAATGTGGTATATTTACACAATGGAGTATTACTCAGCTATTAAAAACAATGAATTCAAGAGTTTCCTAGGTAAATGGTTGGAACTAGAAATTATCATCCTGAGTGAAGTAAGCCAATCACAAAAGAACACACATGATATTCACTCACTGATTATTGGATATTAGCCCAGAACCTTGAAATGCCCAAGATGCAACTCACAGGCCACATGAAGCTCATAAAGAAGGAAGACCAAGTGGGGGTGATTCGGTCCTTCTTAGAAGGAGCAACAAAATACTCAAGGGAGCAAATATGGAGACAAAGTGAGGGACAGAAACTGAAGGAGGGGCCATCTGAAGACCTTTCCACCTGAGTATCCATCCCATGTGCAGTCACCAAAGGTAGATGCTGATGTGGAAGTCAGGAAGTGCATGCTGATAAGAGCCTGAAATGGATGTCTCCTCAGAGGTCTTCAAGAGTCTGACATATTCAGAGGCAGATGCTCACAACTAGCCATTGAACTGATAATGGGGTTCTCAATGGAGGAGTTAGAGTGAAGACTGAAGGAGCTGAAAGGGTTTATGGCACCATGAGGAGAGCAACAATACCAACCAACCAGAGCTCCCAGTGTCTAAACCACCAGCACTTAGGAGCACTTAGGGAGGGATCCAGGGCTTCAGCTGAATATGTAAGAGTGGAGTGCCCTGCTGGGCATAGGTGGAAGATGAGATCCTTGACCTCATGAAGGCTGGAAGCCCCAGGGGGTGGGAATTTTGAGGGTGAGGAAGTGGGAGTGGGGGGGTAGGTAGGAGTTACATCCACAGAGAAGAAGGAGGAGGGGTGAGGGGATGGGGGTTCCCGGGTTGGTTGGGGGTGGGGTAAGGGAACAACATATGAAATGTAAATAAAACATCCAATAAAAAAATTGAAAAAAAAAAAACAAATGTGGGTGCTCTTGAAATTGGGGCGTAGATGTTCAGAATAAGAGTTCATCTTAGTGGATTTTTCCTTTGAGTATATAGTGTCTTTCCTCATCTTTTAAAATAACTTTTCATTGCAAGTCTCTTTTATTGGATATTAGAATGGCTACTTCAGCTTTTTCCTTGGGACCATTTGCTTAGAAATATTTTCCAGCCTTTTACTTTGAGGTAATGTCTATCTTTTTCACTGAGGTATATTTTCTATATGCAGCAAAATGCTGGCTCCAGTTTACATATGCAGTCTGTTAGCCTATGTCTTTTTATATTGTCTATTGATGTTGAGAGTTATTAAAGACAATTGTTGTTTCTTGTTATTTTTGTTGCATCTGGTTGTGGGCTGATTTGGTGGGGATGCAGAGCACAAGCTCCTCTTCTTGGCTCAAGTGCAAACCAGAAGGAGCTTGTGTCTCAGGCTTGGTAAGGTCCCTATGTCCCCTGGATCCCAGGGTCACAGTTACGTAGGTATTGGGGTGGGTTTGGGGTCTGAAAAACCTGGGAGTCAAGCTGCATCTGGGTGTGGGCTGAGTGGGTGGGGATCCAGAACAAAGCTCCTGTCTTCTAGAACAAGGCTACTCTCTTCTACTTTGCTTTTTAAAAGCATTTTTATTGCATTTATTTGTCTAATAATAACAATAATATGTGAATACAAACTTCACTGTCTGCTGGTAACATGCTATAATCATCTTTATTCCCTTTTGAACTGTATAACCATCAGTGACTGTTTATTCTTCCCTCCCTATATTTGTGTAACCACCAGTCTTATCTTTGTGTCTGTAGATTTACCAGTCTTTCAAGTATATACAGATGTTCTCTATACTTTCTTGATAATACCTATTGTTGTAGAGAGAATGATTTTCTTTAATTAAGTCTCACCACATTTAATATTGTTTTTGTCATTCAGTAAATCCATGCTACAGCTAAGAACTCCATGGCTAAACACAAGATCACAGTAAACTGACCCTATTGTTTCCTCTAATGCTTTCATGGCTTGTAGCTTTTATATTTATATTATGACCACCTTTGCATTAAATTTTATCTATGATTTGAGATAGGAGCCCAGTGAGGTTCTTTTATTCTGAATATATACTTGTCCCAGGATTTAAAATAGATCACATACATAAATGAAACTTTACTATAGCTCAAAGCACACATTGCACCTCACACAATAATAGTGGGGGATTTCAACACCCCACTCTCAGCCATGGACAGATCATGGAAACAGAAACTAAACAGAGACACTATGAAATTAACAGAAGTTATTAACCAAGTGGATTTAATAGATATTTATAGAACATTTCATCCTAAAACACACGCGCGCGCACACAGACACACACATACACACATACCTTTTGTTGAAGATGCTTTGATTTTCCA